CCAAGCCTGAGAGTAGCTCTTTCCCTCACCCACCTCCAGGCCTGTGCCCCTCTCTGGTCTCGTGCTTGCGGCTCCTCTGTCTTCAGTTCTGGGATATGTGCCCACGTAGACGCTTCGTTCCAGCCTCAGGGAAGCCTGGCACCCACCGCCCAACGTGAGCCAGAAGACAGGCCTGATGATTGAGTCCCACGAAGGGGGCGCTGGGTGGGAGGAAGATGGGGGCCAAAGAGTACGGGGTACCCGGGAGAGGACCTGCATGGCTGTCCTGCTTGCTACCTAATGTGTCCTGCAAAGCTCCATGTCGCCTCACAGAATTCAGACTCCAGGCCAGGGCGTCAACACACAGCCTGCTGGCCTTTGGCCCCAGCGTCCATCTAAGCCCTCTCCAATTGCACCGCCTGCTTCAGTATCCCCATCTCCCTTCGTTTAAAGAGTGCTACACAGACGCCTGCCCTATGTCCTCCTCCCTCAGACGTCTCAGCCTGCAATGGCTTCTCCATCGCCGCCCCCGCTGATCCCCCAGCACCAGAACCGACCCCTCTTCTGTCCTTCCAGAGCAGAGTAGCGCTGTGTGTCTACCTAGCACTCGGTTCCCTCCGCGCTGTTTCTTAGCCAGGTGGATATACACCCGTGTCCTCTTTCGTTCAGTCCTGCACTTACCCAGAGCTTGGCACGGGGCCTCCCTTGGATGTAAGGCGGCTCAATTAGTACTGGAATCGAATATGATGCTGCCCTTTACTCTCTTCTTGCCCAGTAGCCTTCTACCTCTCACTTGCCCAACCCCGTGTCCCTCCTCGTAGGCTGCCCCACATACATGGACGTGGTCATCGTCTTGGACGGCTCCAACAGCATCTACCCTTGGCTTGAGGTTCAGACCTTTTTAAGAAGACTGGTCGGCAGGCTGTTTATTGACCCAGAGCAGATACAGGTGGGAGGTGGCGGTATGCACAGGCCGAGAGGTGGGCGAGAGGAGACAACTGGTGTGTGTGTGGGGGGGTGTCTTCTGTCCTACCCTACCCAGTTGCTCAGCTCTCCTCTGCTCCGGACTTGCTCCCAGCTCCCCCCACCACCACCCAGACACCATCTGAGCAGGTGCTTTCTTCTCAGGTGGGGCTGGTACAGTACGGGGAGAGCCCCGTCCATGAGTGGTCCCTGGGGGATTTCCGCACCAAGGAAGAAGTGGTGAGAGCAGCAAGGCACCTGAGTCGGCGCGAGGGACGAGAAACAAAGACAGCCCAAGCGATAATGGTGGCCTGGTAAGGCCTTGGGAAGGGCCCGTGGGAGGCCTGGGTGAGGAGCACAGAAAGCGAAATTGACTGTCACCACCACACGGCCCGTCCTTGTGTTTCCGCGAAGCATCTGCCCCGCGTCTCTGCAGTGTCTACCTTGTCCAGCTCCGGACTTGCTCTCTCCTGCCCTTCCACTCTAACGATGCTGGTCGGCTCTCCCCCGACTCATGCCTGGCGGAGGGCCACCGCTTAGACCTCGGGGTCCA